AGTTGTGTGTATACGCATATACGCAATAGTACTCGTAGCGCTAGGAATTGTACTTTCTTAATATTATAACACGCGAACGCGGTCTTAAACTAGGTTTGGATTAATTCTCCCAGAAGCAGAATTTAATTCTTAATCTCCTGTATTGGAATTTATTGCGAGAAAATTCCGTAACGCGAGTTATAGTGATAGTTGTGTGTATACGCATATACGCAATAGTACTCGTAGCGCTAGGAATTGTACTTTCTTAATATTATAACACGCGAACGCGGTCTTAAACTAGGTTTGGATTAATTCTCCCAGAAGCAGAATTTAATTCTTAATCTCCCTGTATTGGAATTTATTGCGAGAAAATTCCGTAACGCGAGTTATAGTGATAGTTGTGTGTATACGCATATACGCAATAGTACTCGTAGCGCTAGGAATTGTACTTTCTTAATATTATAACACGCGAACGCGGTCTTAAACTAGGTTTGGATTAATTCTCCCAGAAGCAGAATTTAATTCTTAATCTCCCTGTATTGGAATTTATTGCGAGAAAATTCCGTAACGCGAGTTATAGTGATAGTTGTGTGTATACGCATATACGCAATAGTACTCGTAGCGCTAGGAATTGTACTTTCTTAATATTATAACACGCGAACGCGGTCTTAAACTAGGTTTGGATTAATTCTCCCAGAAGCAGAATTTAATTCTTAATCTCCCTGTATTGGAATTTATTGCGAGAAAATTCCGTAACGCGAGTTATAGTGATAGTTGTGTGTATACGCATATACGCAATAGTACTCGTAGCGCTAGGAATTGTACTTTCTTAATATTATAACACGCGAACGCGGTCTTAAACTAGGTTTGGATTAATTCTCCCAGAAGCAGAATTTAATTCTTAATCTCCTGTATTGGAATTTATTGCGAGAAAATTCCGTAACGCGAGTTATAGTGATAGTTGTGTGTATACGCATATACGCAATAGTACTCGTAGCGCTAGGAATTGTACTTTCTTAATATTATAACACGCGAACGCGGTCTTAAACTAGGTTTGGATTAATTCTCCCAGAAGCAGAATTTAATTCTTAATCTCCCTGTATTGGAATTTATTGCGAGAAAATTCCGTAACGCGAGTTATAGTGATAGTTGTGTGTATACGCATATACGCAATAGTACTCGTAGCGCTAGGAATTGTACTTTCTTAATATTATAACACGCGAACGCGGTCTTAAACTAGGTTTGGATTAATTCTCCCAGAAGCAGAATTTAATTCTTAATCTCCCTGTATTGGAATTTATTGCGAGAAAATTCCGTAACGCGAGTTATAGTGATAGTTGTGTGTATACGCATATACGCAATAGTACTCGTAGTTTCGTTAGTATTTATAACGCGCGAACCAAATGCTGAAATTAACAACTGATGTATTGAATTATTATATTTTATTTTATTTTAGTGCACTTCAAAAATGTGCTATTTCAATTCTACACGCATATCGGGGTTTGTGTATAAACAAGTTTTTATCTCGCTATAAACGTGCACAATACTGCCTCTCATGCTACGAACGTTCGACCGCTTCAGTCTGTTCTTACCTGCACGCGGCTCGGCATCATTCTTTCATTCATTCCGATTACATTACGTTTTATTATTGATTAAAAATGAGTATTTCTAACGACACCTAATGACAACAGACATGTAGATTGTTTTGCTAAGGATGATTTACGCGTAAAATGATTATAAAACTAGTGTTTCCATGTGCGTGTCGGCTATTGTAATATTTCGATGTTGAGAATTGGTTTTAGAAATATGTATTCTATTCGTAATTTTAAGTAAGTGTAATTAACGACTGTCCTTGGCAGGATATTCCGGGAAAATTGTGTGTAGGGCTTCACACGAGACGAGACTGGACGATACTATCAAAGGTATCGTCTCGGTCTCGGTATCGTCTCGCAAAAGCGATACGAGACCGAGACGATACGAGAAAAGTCTCGGTATCGTGTGAAGCTTTAAGTAGAACTCAGTTTTAGATCTTTGCAGTTCAAAAGTTTAGTCATTTAATTGCTAATTGCATGTATTGTAAAGTAAATCCAAAATACATACATAGTTTAAAATATTAATTTTTAATTGCATCACTTTTAATTGAAAATATATTTTTTAATGTTTCAAATTTTAAAACGATAATGTATACTAGGGTACAATAGTCGAGTTGATTTGTGTTGAAAGTAAGCGGCGCACGTCTACAATTCCTAACTTACCCAGATGTATACAATATCTTTGCTTCAAGAAGTACAGAAAAACACAAAAATATGTCTCCGGATGTGTAAACAAAGACAAAATTTTCATAAAACTTTCAAAAAGTCAAAAAGGTCATGATATTCGGTTACTGACTTGTTATTTTGAATATACAAAAGAAATATTTCACAGATGGTCATATATTGGATTTCATATATTGGACCTTTTCCCATTTTCTAATAACAACTTCATAAAAAAGTAACGAGACCAATAACGAGACCAAAAACGAGACTCGGACTGTGGTATCGGTATCGCCGAGAAATTGATAAAACACGTCTCGTCTCGGTATCGTCTCGGAAAAGCGAGAAAAGTCTCGGTATCGCGTGAAGCCCTAATTGTGTGTTAAAATAGTGCAGGTTCATTATCCCTCAAATCAAATTTAAATAAGTGTGCATCATTTGTTGTTTGTTGTTTTTTGTTTCAGTACTTTCTATGATTACCTGATGAACTGGTAAGTTTGTAAACGTTATTACATTATACTTTCATGTTTATCTAAAATTGCATGTAACGTGAATACCGTAACAACACAAAATTGATGCGTGCCATCGGATGCGACTTGGATCTACCCGCAGAGTATAGTCGTGTCAATCATCGGTTTAATAACATCCTATGTTCTACTTTACCTTGCGTGTAAAACTGACTAAATTTGTCGTTTCTGGGTCGTTTTCTACTTAAACTTTGTATTTTATTTTTAAATTTAGGAATTTCCGGTTTGTAACACCCTGTATGTTTTTTATTTCCTATTATAAGTTTTCTAAATTTGTATTCTCGACTATTTTCATTTTTGTACTATTGATTTTCTTTTTGTGATGTAGTAATTTCCTTTTTGTAGCACCCTGTATATTTGTTTTTCTTTTTGTACGTGAAAATTTAGCTTTAGTTGTTGTTTTAGGGTTTTCTTTTTTGCACTTTGAATTTTCTATTTGTAACACCCTGTATATTTGTTCCCATTTTCACTCACGCAGAAAATGGTCTATTTCTTAATTTCTTTATCCCGGTAGTACATTCCGAAGTGTAACTTGCTTGCTTGTGCACGGCTATGCAGGTCGTAAGTCATGTTTCAATATGGCGACATGTATTCTGTTGACTTGTAAAATATAAACTTGTATTCTATTGTTAATAAAGAAATAGTAAAATATATTGACTTCTTTGATTTGTGTACCTCTTCTATCATTTCAGGAACAGGTCTCTAAAGGTGCAGAGTTCCTACATGAGAGTTCTCTCTCAGGGGATGATCCCCACTATAAAAATTGTTAAGGTATCCTGTGTGATTTGTGTGCTCCTTCTTTCATTTCAGCTACAGGTCAGAACTTGTAAGAATATTTTTAAGTGTCACCTCTCTTGAGGCGACTTAAAACTTAGAAATATTTTTACAAGACCTTATAAGGATTGTCCTTATAAGGAGTTCCCTCTCTCTGGGGGTGATCCCCCACCATAAAAATTGTTGATATGCCTGATAATTTCGGGGATGAAGCGCAGAGACATCGTAGCTGTAGGTTGGGCCGGGAGCAATGGACGCATCGAAGCAGTGGGCGATCGACCAGAGCGCCGGAGGCGCTCTGGGAGATCGACCTGTGACTGTCTTATAACGACACGTGCCAAAAAATTTAAAAATCTGATCCACTCCTGTTCTCTTTCTTCAATCTTCTCCTCTTCTTTTCCTTCTCTTCTCTACTACTCCTTCTTCTTCTATTTCTCTGTTCTCCGTTTCTCTACCTACTTCCTTGCTTCTCATATTGCCTTCACTTGTATTGCAATTTCTCCTATATTTCATTTGAGTTTACATATGCAACCCAAATTACACCTGTTATTTTTATATTTGAGAAAAATGCCTCCCGTACCTGAGATTCGATCCGTGTCTACTAGCATGCTAGCAGGTGCACGTACCCACTCGACCACCGAGTGTTTTTATTATTAATATTTGATTCTTCTATTTATGTTTCTACTTCATTCTACTTTTAAAAACAACAACACAACACAGCTATGTTGCCCTAGCTTCACGCGCATAAGATTTATATGCAACATGACTTAAGATGTCAATACTGAAAACGACAAAGAGGATACCATAAAGAAATATGAATCAGATTGTAATTTTACAATGTGTTTTATTGAGAACAATAACAATAGACACATTATTTTAAATAATAAAATCGTCAGCTATCAAATTCGGGAGTAGTAAAAACTTGCCTTAAAATACGCACATCTCCAACACTTGAGCTAAAGATATTGCAAACTCAATCCGTGCACTCACAAACATTTGCAGGAATTAATTATAAATCCAAGTTTTTCTTATGTGCGAAACGATAACTGATTGTCAACGGTCACGCGCGCACCGGTGAACATAAAATTAATCCACGATTGATAAACACAGCAGCGTGCAATCACATAAATTTAATACATGAATAATAAATATGTTTAGCCACGCGAGCATACTTATCCGACGGTCACCACGTACGTCCTACAAACAACCACTACACTGGTCTGTTATTACTGAAATTTAATTACAGAATTCTAGATTAATTACGGAATTAAGACATTTAGTAACGCTAACAAATATCACGAAGTTTGATTAATGAACAAAACACGTGCACACCACACCACGGCGCACGAACGACTAAGCCGGACTAAACATGAACGACAATTGATAACCGACCCACAGTTGGACGGACGACAATCTATGTTCGTAAGTTGAAAACAACAACGCACGTAATAACAGAAATGATGTGATATGAAGCAATTAAATTACCGAACTTTTATTTTAATTTTGTAGGTTTCCCGAAGGTTAAACCCACAAGTTATATAAAACGTATAAAAACGTGGTCCTACGACATCGGGTTCGGCCGATAGACACCTAAAACAGCAAAAATTAGACAACGAAAAACACAAAAAGGGCATTTTCGTAGGTTTCCCAAGGGATAAACCCACAAGTTATATACATAATTGATAGAGAATTTTAGTACCTACAATTTGGTGAAAAAGAGTTGTCATACGACATCGGCCGCTAGACTCCCAAAACAGCAAAAATTAGACAACGAAAAACACAAAAGGGCATTTTCGTAGGTTTCCCAAGGGATAAACCCACAAGTTATATACATAATTGATAGAGAATTTTAGTACCTACAATTTGGTGAAAAAACGTGGTCCTACGACATCAGGTTCGGCCGATAGACACCTAAAACAGCAAAAATTAGACAACGAAAAACACAAAAGGGCATTTTCGTAGGTTTCCCAAGGGATAAACCCACAAGTTATATACATAATTGATAGAGAATTTTAGTACCTACAATTTGGTGAAAAAGACGTGGTCCTACGACATCAGGTTCGGCCGATAGACACCTAAAACAGCAAAAATTAGACAACGAAAAACACAAAAAGGGCATTTTCGTAGGTTTCCCAAGGGATAAACCCACAAGTTATATACATAATTGATAGAGAATTTTAGTACCTACAATTTGGTGAAAAAAACGTGGTCCTACGACATCAGGTTCGGCCGATAGACACCTAAAACAGCAAAAATTAGACAACGAAAAACACAAAAATGGCATTTTCGTAGGTTTCTCAAGGGATAAACCCACAAGTTATATACATAATTGATAGAGAATTTTAGTACCTACAATTTGGTGAAAAAGACGTGTTCCTACGACATCGGGTTCGGCCGATAAACACCTAAAACAGCAAAAATTAGACAACGAAAACACAAAAGGGCATTTTCGTAGGTTTCCCAAGGGATAAACCCACAAGTTATATACATAATTGATAGAGAATTTTAGTACCTACAATTTGGTGAAAAAAACGTGGTCCTAGGACATCAGGTTCGGCCGATAGACACCTAAAACAGCAAAAATTAGACAACAAAAAAACACAAAAATGGCATTTTCGTAGGTTTCCCAAGGATAAACCCACAAGTTATATACAAATTGATAGAGAATTTTAGTACCTACAATTTGGTGAAAAAAACGTGGTCCTACGACATCAGGTTCGGCCGATAGACACCTAAAACAGCACAAATTAGACAACGAAAAACACAAAAAGGGCATTTTCGTAGGTTTCCCAAGGGATAAACCCACAAGTTATATACAAATTGATAGAGAATTTTAGTACCTACAATTTGGTGAAAAAGACGTGGTGCTACGACATCGGGTTCGGCCGATAGACACCTAAAACAGTAAAAATTAGACAACAAAAAAACACAAAAATGCATTTTCGTAGGTTTGCCAAGGGATAAACCCACAAACCTGCCTTTGTATATAATTAATCAGGAAATACTAGACGTGCGCGCCTTCTTTCAAGTCAATTAAATAATATAATACAACACAAACACCGTTAAACGCGTAAAGATGAAAATAATGTTTTATTAGCACTTTCGATCGATGACAAACTACAACCAAAAACGAGACTAGCAAGAGGAACGCGTGCGGACACACCGGCGCGATTAAGACGACTAGACCAACTCGACTTAAGCCGTGTGCGCGTGATTGTGCACAGGTGCGCAACTCAAACGCGCAACCAAAAATCAACCTTAAGAGCGACAAATCATGCAAAGAAGCGCGAATATTTCGCGATTTTGATTCCAATCGCTAAAACCGAACTAACTAGATCTTGAAATACCTTAAAAACAAATAATATTTTCCAATACGTCATCACGCAACTGAAATTACTTTAATAAATAATTATAATTATATAGAACTTTAAATTCCAAAGATAAAATTACTTAAATTGTCATTTCTAGAATGTGAAATTTTACCTTAATAACCATGCGCTATGGTTATACACTGGCAGTAAACAATCGAACACCAAACTAATCCAAACACCAAATATGAAGCAATTTACTATTGCATTAGTTGTAATCACATTCGCTTTTTGTATAAATTTAATAGTTACTGAAAAGTATGGCACCACAACTACAGAACCACCACCGCAACGTAAGAAATTACACCATCAAATGGCATAAAACGAATTAAAAATTTCAATTTCAGCGTGCGTTTTCTGTGAAAATCTAACAACAAAAGAAGAATGCAACGAAATTGGAATGGATCACAGACCACTTACATGTTTCGTTTGTCCAGAGTGTATCCCACGGGGCAACCACACATTATACTAGACAAATGGACACAATAAAACGAATACATATTAAAAATAAACTCCGCATTGCCCTTTGTAAAATATATTTATTCCATTCGACAGAAAGCTGCACGTCACTTCATTCAACCGGAAATTGAACAGAAACATCAACGATGAATAAACCGCAATAGTTGCCCGTTGAAAAACATCCTACTTATGTACAAAATTCCACACGCTAAATCCTGCCGCACTTAAGATTACATGGTTTTATCACTTGCGTTGTTATAGTTTTCGAAATATATACATATACGAACCAATTCAGCTGCCCATCATTCAGCTACGTGCAACATAAAACAAAAATCAAAAACTTAATAAAGATTCCACGTCAGTAGTAAGTACCGTGTGACTGCGCTGCAAACTTATCGCCTAAAAATAGCCTACTACTTAATTATATTACAAAAGTATATACGATTTAACAAAGTTATTCAACCAGAGATATATAAATAAGACAAGATTAACGTTTGAGAGTACAAATCAATCACATTCATTTCCCTCGTGTATGTTTCGGCTTCATGCTCGGCGCGCATCACTTAACTATATATTGAGAGACTATAAACGAAAACAACAACAAATGTGTGTGTGTGTATGTGTGTGCCCGAGAGGTCCACGTCGACACAATCCAAACATTTATTCATAAATCAATTTATCATCACCTATAATCGTCGAAGATTTCCTCCTCGGGCACCGGATGCTGCTCCTCCTCCTCGTTCTCCTCCGTTTTATGATCGTACTCGACGCTGTGCAGGATTTCATGACACAGCGGACAACGATCCTGCACGTATAGCCATTTACGCAAGCAAACACCGTGAAAGAAGTGATTGCATCGCGTGATCTTCGCCGACTTCATCTCCTGATAGCAAATTGCGCAAACGTCGTCCAAACGCTCAAGTTGCTCTTCCTCAGCCTCGGGCAGACTGTCAATTTTGTTAACAGCCGTACGCCGCTTCATAAAACCCGCCAGCCTGCTTTCGCATCACACCATATATTGAAATATGCGTGGATACACATCATCACTGCACGGATGGCTCCGCCGCTTTCGAAGACAAGTATCCATGCGCCGTTGAAGAAGAGGAAAATCCCGAAACAAAATTCCACGGTGTTACCAAACGCCCGGATGTAGTATACATAGTCATCCAAACGCTCCCAGAATGTATCCCTGCGTGCGTCCAATAAGAATATCGAGTATATGCATAAACTCACAGCGACCTTGACGATGACTTCAATGCTGAAAGCGGACACAGCCAGTAACCAAGTGGAGACACGATGGTTGGACCATAGATAAGTCATGAGTAAAATAGGAAACAGGACTAGACATCCGCACACCGCCAGAGCACGTATGTGTCTCTTCAGTGACGGATTATGCGACGCGCTGAGACTCATCAGCAGCGGGCTGACGATGTTGTGTATAAAGTGTAGCAGCGCAGTGAAGAGCAGGCAGAAATTGCGACACAATCGCACAAAGCGTTTCTCCGGCTCCAAACCAGTCAAGCCCGTCTGCAGCGCGAGGATATAAAACAAAATGGCGGACACAGCGCCTATGCCTTTGTCATTCTCATCCTGCGTGAGTAATATCCACTGGAAGAATTTACCGATGTGATGACAAAGATACGAAACCACGCTGGTAATCCCCAGCACGGCAATGAGCGTGTCACATCCAGTAATCATCGTATTCTTCATCCATTTGAACGCCGGTGTCAAACCGGAATCATCCATCTGCCATAATCCAGCGATGAAAAACAACCCAGTGTGTTCCAACACACGCAGTAACCAAAACGTGCGCAGGACTTCCGGCACGCTCAAGCGCAACCATTCGCTTTCGATGAGTGCCGACATGCCGAAATTGCTCACATACGTCCGCGCGTAGTTGTACCCATGTAAAACCGTCTGCACGATGGAGAATATCGACGCAAATAAGACAAACACCACCATCATTAATGGTAGCAGAGCAGCGAAAACAGCAGCGTGATTGAACACTGCCACTGGCAGTGGTAGTAGAGCCAGAATTGAAGGACCAATAAACGATAGAGGTAGAAGCCGCTGTAGGGAGCCGTAGCGTGGTCCAAGGTGAATATTGAAGAAAAGGAACATCATCGCCAGCTGGAATAGTATGTTCTGCCCGACGTAGTAGGCGCAACCATCCGGGCGCATAATCTCGCCGAAATTCAGCGAGAGAATCTCGTCGAGAATCGAAGACTTGATCTGCTCGCTTTCGACTGCGCCGATGACGCTACGCATTGTGGACACATTCGTCCAGTACGAGACGAAAACGATCCCCAATGACATTAGATACATGTAGACGACCATAAGGTGCTTTGTGTTCAGCACAAACAGACCAAGGGCGACCAAACATCCTAAAAAACATATTGTTTAGCTATAGAAACGCATACAAAGTAGTTTAAAATGGTAATTCGTGGCGATATGCAATATATTAGCAAAAAGTGAAGTGCCTGCAACAAAAATAGCCCAAAAAACCTAAATATTTCGATAGTGAATGAATAGAGAAAAGAAAATGTCGTTTTGAAACCGAAATGACCCAAAACACTCATTAAAAAACGTGTAACGACCTGGATTTACATATGTAATTGAAAAACTGACCAAGTCATTAACCGAAAACACGTTATTTAATGATATTATTGTTGCACCAAGATGAGATATCGATTCAAACAAACAACGCGCGTGCGTAATTAATAATTCAATTAAAACAAGTGTAGCCATATAGCCCACACAGCAGTTATCAGCTTAAACTTGTCCAACTGCTCAACATTCAAGGCAACCACCAGCGCGCAAGTCATGCAAATATTGCAAACCTTCCATTTGTAATTCTTGCATGTTTACATTTGCATGGAATCAAACAACTTCCTGTTGACGCATTCCATCAAATCACAGCAATTTTTACCAAAGTCTACCACTAATCTTAGTTCTAAAGGTTTCAAATTTATGCTTAGTCATACTTGTACTCACCTAAAGCACTCAGCAAGACCCTCATGAGTGAAATCAAAACAAACTTGTAGACTTTGGAATCGTACTGCAGCCGCGATCCGGTGTAGTTGAAGGAGTCGGCGAGAAAACTAGCGGCGGCGGCGGCACCCGCCTCCGCATGCTCGCCGGGATCATAGCCGTTGAGCTCGACGAACTCGCCCTCGGTGAACTCGGCGACGCCGAGCCCCAGCTTGAGGATCTCATCGATGACGAAGAGCGGCGGCACTCGCAGCACGACCTCCACCAGGCAGAGGACACGCGTTCTCAACGACATCTCATCTCAATCGCCCGTGCTGCGTGCCTGATGGTGCTTCTCCGGCGGCACGACTCACCGCCTGCACGAGTCTCGAGCGTGGGGGCCGCCTTGTGTGTTGCACACTGCGAATTTTGCTCCAGCTGGCCCAAACTGACGTCGCTCGGCGAGAAGGTCGTGTGAGCTGGAAATCGAAGAAAGGTCGTGTTAGTCGAGCGCAGCTGGTGGAATAGATTATTAACGTTTGTTACGTTTGCGTTTACTAACTTCGCTTCCCTTCACGACCGATGTAATATTTACGCGACGTTTGCGACAGATGACAGGAGTTTAGTCAGGTGTCAGCACTCTGCAATGTCACTTGACATTGATGTTATTTGAGTTGCCTACCATGCGAAAATATAAAAGTTAAAAGAATAGTTATGAATATGACAACTAGAGGGCGCAAGCAGTACTAAATCAACTAATTTCCAAGCTTTGCCGGTAGATTACACTCTAAGTCACAAAATAAGAGAGAGAATAATTTACGTGCGTAATTAAAGCGTAAATATCATGTTTAATGATTTCCGCAAATTTCCGCGTTTCCACGCGACGCTCCAGCTCGTATTGCGCGCGATTCTGCGTACGTCGCCGCCGGCTTTTATTTGTTTCGCACGAAATTGTACGCGTTTAATGCCGAGTGTCATTTTTCGCAGCGCTGGAGAGTAAGTGTGTCGTTCGCCACGTCTTGATTGATTGTTTCGGCGTATTCAACATGAAGAAGTCGAGCAGCCCCGCAGCCGGCTTCGGTTTCATTCAGCTGTTGGCGTTATAAATTTAGTAAACGGCGTAATTACGACTTCACTGCAAGTTGTTAAAACGCGCAGGAGAAAAAAATACGCGCATGCGCAGCCGAATAAGTAATGTACGCGCGCTCAAATTGATTTTTCCGTGTTAATTTTTGAGCCAAAGGCGCAGTGTGAGCGCATTCTAGGAGTTAAATGGAGTTATAAAAGCGTCGGCGCACATGTGTTAGCCACTAATATGCCATCACCGGTCATTAAGCGGCGCACTTCTTCCCCGCTTTGCGCCTGTCTCGTTTGCGATGTGCGTTTGAGCGTCGCGCTCGCCGCTATCCGGCTAATAGTCGTTTACAAGCCGCACGTCAAAATAACGAATTAATCAGCGTTACTGCCTGCGCCGCAGACCTCTTTGCCGAGTGCGCGCTTCACCGCGACTCCTGCACTTTTCGGCCGCAAATACAAATGAGACACAAACGCATTACATCTGAATATAGCCAAGTTACAAACCAAAAAATTTAAAAATTTGATTTTTTTCTTTAAAAAAACAATAAAAAACTATGTTTTTCTTGGAAATTCATCCAAAAATAACGTAAATTTTCATGTCGCTGCTCATTATCAAGTAGATTTATGCGCGTACATAGTTTAACGCGTTTTAAATCATCAGAGTTATCGCGTCGGACGTGGATAAACCCAAACGCATTAAACACAAGTCTGGAAAGACACCGGCAAAGAGTTGTGCGTCTCACTTTCAGACGGCTTAATACGTACCAATATAGTTCGTCGCTGCTAGTTAAACTTCGAAATTATTAATGACTTGTCTCGCGCGTCTTTCATAAACGATGTCTTCTTCCGCGCGCGCGCGCGCGTCTTTTTCTCTTCTTTGGGTGCGCGTCTCGAGTTATATGCTCGTTTGCTATCGACGCTCATATTTGTTTTTCTCCCGGCAGCACGCAACAAGCGGGCGTTTAGTGAGATAATTATATCGTGCGTGCTCTCGGCACACCACCACCACCACCGCCGCCCGAAGAGAGTGTTAATTGACACGCAGAGGAAAAGCCAAGTTTTATAGTTCCAGAGAATGCGTTTTTATTTCGCTCCGTGAGCTGTTTCCAACTATAGCAACAATTAAACCACGAAGTGCAGCAGAAGAAGAAGAAGAAGAAGAAGCAGAAGAGGGAAAAGAAGGTTGAAGACAAAATGGAACAAAACGCACTCAAGTTGAGTTAAAGAATAAAAAAAGAAAGAAAAAAAAACGATGTTTTATTTTTCCTCGCTGCGTAATGGTCGTGGTAGTCTCCAAGACCTGGGAGCTGAATGAAGATCAGATCGGCGATAACGCCGAGCGGAATTAATTACGAACGATCGTCGCCATTGCGTTACCTGCTACCGCCGGTAGCAATTCAGGTACACACACACCTCGGGATTTATTTACAATTAGCAGCCGGGTACATTTATTTCAAAATTTCAAAAATAAATTTAAAATTTTATTTTTTGTTTCGCTAGAAAAACAATTCAATACAATATGCACATCACATTGTCTCGATAATTTATTTCGCTATAAATGACAATGCAACTAATGCAATGAATAAATAAATAATTCATGCATGCACCGAAAATTCATCGATTATTGAATCGCATTATAATAAATAGATAATTTTGAATGGCTGTTGAATAATTTTAATTAATGCAAATGAATTTCGCTGCGGCGGCCGAGGCGTGCTATTCAAATCTACGCATGCATTGTATTTGCATAATTAAATTATTCAATATTGAACATTCTAAATAATATTAAATACCGAGTATTATACACTTGGGAATTATAAAAGAATCATTTCTTCTCTTAAGCGCGCGCGTGCATGGTGAACAAAACGTTTGGACGTTTTGGATCCAATTAAATTAATTAACTCGCCGAGGATCAAATCCTAATTAATTCCGTGAATTTCGGTGCATGTTAATTTTATTGAAATTTTCTACGGTCACCAAAAATAATAAATAAAAATAAAACAACGTGATTTTTATCGGGGAAAGATTTAGGTAGAGGTAGGTGCATTGGAATTGTCGCTACACAAAGTAAATTGAATTTTGTAAGTGGCAGCCGTGCGAAAGCCGAAAAAGCGTTTTTTGAAACATGATACCAATGAGGACTTCTTGTGTTTGCGCTGGCAAATCTTTGAAGTTTGATTTGCGCCCGCTGCGGACGATGCGTGTGTCCGACACTTATATTGGCTAATTTTCCACGCTTCGCGTCAAAGGTTTAAGCATAACAATATAATGTTTGCGTTGCTACCTTTGTAAATCGCCGAGAAAATCAAACAAAACCAAAATATACTTTTTAAAAGTTTTTTTCCAAACCAAAAATCAATTTTATTGATTAATGTGAAAAACCGAAACTTTATATTTTTAATTAATGGATCGTGTTGCTACATGGAAAGAAGCACCATCAATAATTTAAATGTTAATTTCGTTAATTAATGATACAAATTGCTTTTCACGAGCAGCGCCCCGAGCGCAACAGAAAATTAAAAATTAAAAATTCGAATACACCACCGCTGGAAACGCCAAGAAGTACGTGAAGACCGAAGAGGACGAAGCGAGGAGTTGCAGCAACGAATGGACAATTATAGAGAGTGATATTTGCTGCGAGATAACGACCAATTAAAAGGGAGTCGCTCTGCACGGACGAACGGGCGAACGACGAATGTCCATTGAATAATAATTACAAGTTGCTACCGATCCGGCTGCAGCTACCGCCGTGTAACAGCTTCCACTGTTTTCGAAGCGCAACAAACCAAAAGAAGAACAAGAACCTCACACAAACACACACACATTGAATCAATGAAAACGGTTCTCAAGCACTGAAACACACAAGAACAAAACGTTTTCGTTGTGCAATTAAACTTTTTCTACGCACATTTCTAAATAATATTACATAATCATAATATTATGGTTGTAATTAATTAAACATAGAATAAAAATTAATTTTTGTGTATTTGCGGTTGATTTTCTTGTCGTTGCGTGCAATTAACACGTCCGTCCGCTGCGCCATTAATGAATTTTCCATAAAAAGCGCTTGCGCGGCGGGTATCGCGGGAAACGTGTTAATGAGTAATTAATTAAACAATTCGACGAAAACGCAGCGCGCTCTCGGAAAGCCGGCGTTAATTACGAAATGTTATCTTAATCGGCAGGACGCTATCTTAACGCGTTGACGAATTTCACGCATTTGCAACAAATTAAACTCAATAAACTCAATAAAATCCTGCGTGTGTTGAGGATATACCGGTTATTTTAACAAGCGACATTAGCCACCGCGCTGCACTTGTGTCCGGCGACTTTTATTCGTATTCTTTTTGCGCGGTAGTCCATACAGGGTGTTTCTAAAGCTGAAAAATATTTTTAAGTGATAGGCAAGTGGGTAGTTGGGGAATGTAAAAGGTAGGCAACACACTGTGCGTGGTGTGTTAACATTGGTTTGGCGAAACACGTAGTTTCGCCATTTGGCTAATTGGAACAATAAATCGTATTCGCGAATAAATGTATCTCCGCGCGCGCGCGTATACGGTGTGTCCGATTTTAATAGGCTGATTGTCTTTTGTTCCCGCACAAAAACCAACAAAACGTCACCGACGCAAGATAAACCATCCGCGTGCGTTTATCTCTGACCGCCAGAAACCATTTTCAAACTTCTGTTTATTTTATTTTATTTTATTTCGTTTTTAGAAACAAAATCGAATGGAAAAATAAACGAATTCATTAAAACGTAGAGATTTATAATGTATGCGAGAACGCGAATTCGGTAGCCGGCGAGATTAGTCGTTTACAAGTTTAATAAAACCTACTAATTAATGTATCCGAAACTAATCGACCGCGAAACTTTATTATTCAGCCGCACGAGATCGATGAATAATAAGAAACGAATAAAACCGAAATCAAAACGCTATAAAACGCAACGGTGTTTCTCGCAATCAGGACTAGAAAATAAAATTACCAACTTTTAAATCTTAATTTAGGATCCGATTGCGGAAGACGACGATTTTATAATTATTAATTAGATGTTAATTGTGTCCGCGAGCGATGTCTCATTTAGACACGTTCTATTAATTTCAGCTTAAAACTTTTATTTCAAAGAATTAAACACGAAATTCGAAAAGAAAAATTTCTTAAAACCCAACACCCTGTATATCTTGTGTGAAACCTTTCTACGCGCCGAATTAATTACTTTTATTGTTGGTATTAATTGCGACGAGCGAATTATTCCCGTCGACGCGTCGTTTGTCCATTTTTGTTTGGTGGAAATTGTGGAACGCACACACAATAGCATTTCCACTTACTTATACGACCTACCAGTTACCAACTTATCGCACTCGTCGTCGTCGTCCACCTCTATAAAGATCGGATCTTTAACGAGCCACCGAAAGCTGCAGCTCAGCAGCGCGCGATGCGCCGTTTGTGTATTTGTTCCGCTT